ATATTTTATTCAAAAATAAAAACATCATCGCTTTCTCAAAATCACATAAAGTCATATTATAACATCGACTGAGATAAAGAATAAAATGAAATATTAAAAACACGATGTATCTCGCTGCATTGCGCGAGTACTCTTCTAGTATTTAATAATTAAAGGGTCGTTTACTAAATGCTTACCTGATAAGTACTTATCAGATAATTTATTTCACCGGATGAACATGGCAAAGGCCAAGAATCTTACCCAGTAAGAACGATGATAAGGATGAAGAGTCTTACCCGGTAAGTGAGGGTGACGCCTCTTACCCAGGTAAGCATTTATCAGGTAAATTGTTGCATGAGATACGTTTTGATGTACTACAATTTTATCCAGTAAAATAAATTATAATGTTGACTCTTAACGGTAAACACTTATCGGGTAAATATTTAAGTAAACAACCCCTAATTATTGCTCTTATCCAAATTCTCTTGTTTTCATCTTAATCTTATCGAAAATACTCTCTAAAAAAAGGGGATTATAAATAAAAATCTCATTTTGTTTAATTTCAAATTTGGAATTCTATTTATTAGAAATCGATCGAAATTAAAATTGATTTCTATTATCCTTTCTATTTGATTATCTTTATATAATGTATTTCATTTTTTTTATGAACATGTCCATTTGTCTTCTTTTTAATATATATATTTTCAAAATAATCTGAATAAATTTGAACTTAACAATCTCTTCATTTTGCATTGTTTTATAAAAAAAATTATACAGTTGTTGTTCCTTGAATAAAGAAATATCAATGTTTTGTACGACTGAATCATAAATTCGTATTATACATTTTTCAACGCTACAAAAAATTAAATACATTACTGTCATACATTCAGACAGTAACAATAAGGATCCAACTCATAATGTTTTCTCTAAGATCAGATTGTTTTTTAAATCTATCCATTTGTATTTGAAGTCGTTTTTATTGGACGACTAAAAATGAATAATATTTGTGAAAACATTCCTTGAAATATTTATTTAGATTTTAGTTGTTGATGTTAAATCGGGAAATTGATCAAAATAGTCTAATCTTTTCTACCAAATTCATTTTTAACCATTTTTGATATCGAATTCTTATTTTAGCCAAAGTTTTGGCATTTGTGTAAAATCAATTTTCAAAATTTAGAAAGAAAAAAAAACTTTATGTAAATGGGGATCCTTTTAAGTTTTTTTTCCCTTTTTTCTTTAATCTGAAAATAGTTTTACAAAAATATCATTTGCATAAAATCCGGCTAAAATGAGAATTTGATTGAAGAATGACTAAAAAGTGAATTTGGTTGTAGATATCGGTTATTTTGATCAATTTCATTATTAAGTATTTTCTTTTTAAAATATATAATTGCATTTCATATATAAAATGTGTGCTAAATTTGGTAATTTTTTCGTCTGAAAAATTGGTACATGCCAAAACAAGGGAAAAACTCATTCATATATGGTAACTGTACACATGGATTTGATAATCCAAAAAACCCAACTTTTGCATGCTTCAATATGAAGTATACATGAATACGCCATTACATTGTGATGTTACCACCACTGGATTGGTGAAAAAAATCTCAAAGGAATCAAGAAAACCCATCCCAAATCCATAAATGTTTTCGGGATGGATTTTCTTGATACCCGTACAACTGGAAAAAAAAAAAACTACTTGCACAACTTAAATCGCCACCATTTCGGGAAAGATTCTTCGGTTTTTGAAATCTCCTCGATCCATACGCTTTTAGGTAACTGCATCGATCATTCTTCATGAAAATATAGAGGAGCTTTTACGATGTTCGGAGTGGTCAGAGGTCCGCAGTCGATCAGTTGATGGTCTTGGAGTGGCGGATCCGTTGCTTTCCACACCACGATGAGCATCCGAGACCCGGGCAAGGAGTTTGCACACACCAAGTGTTTTTGCAAGAAACCGTGGAGAACCAAAAGAACTATGAGTTTGGCTCATTCTCACCATTTCTTGCCTCATTTTATTGAACTCTTCTTCAAGTTCGCCTACTCGAACCATCATCCTTTCCATGCCAACTCTTAGCACCTGGTTCTCACGCATCAGAGCCATGTTGGAACCTGCGCCTGTGTCGGTGGAACCTTGTGGAGCGATGGCTGCTAGAGCTGCTTTCATATGCATCTGCTCAACAAACAACACTTGGAGGACGACTCTAAGTGGGAATCGTTTGTTTTGAGTAGCATGAGCACAAGCATCAACTGAGAGTTTCTGGCAGTCGATGATGTTGCAGAGACGTTCTTTTTCTTTCTCGGGCAACCATGGATGAGCCTGCAAGATTCATACGGTTAACAAACTCATCAAGCCTTTTCCAAACCTTAATTATACAAGGGCAAGTTCATATGAGAACACTAAATATTTTGAGAACATGGTAACCAACTATTCATCTTTATTCATGATATTCATGATGAAGATGCATTATATACATAATGAATAATATTCATGATTATTCATCATGAATAATACGTTTGAACTTTTCCCTGATTATTATTTATAGAGGGAGAGTACAAGAAATAAACCTCGAAATAAATATCCAAAGCTCTGTATAGTCCATCATCCAGAGGTCTTGAAGATCCCGGAAGAGCCTCTGCAAGTGAATACAGCTTTTCAGGTTTCAAGTTCACATCTGATGCAATCTCCGCCATATAGCCATCTACAAGCTTAGAAACATTCCTTAACGGTATAGCTAATGGCGATGTATTTAAATCAAATGACGATGAAGATAGCATACCACCCATTAGTTCAGAAGTTAAGAAACAGCTAATCATCCTTTCAACACAATCGGTATTATATAACGTATCAGAATCAGAATAACTGGGAATCATTAGACCATCTAGTGTTGCATGTTCCAACTGAATTCCTATCCTCCTTTCAAGTGATTCTCGACATTTGTCACTAACACCCAATATCAAAGCAACACGTAAAAGTCCCAACAGAAAACGACACACAGACTTGCCCTTTGTTTCTGGGAGCAATTCTACTATACTTTCCAGTAGAATTCTTTGATCAACTATATCAGTTTTCATCCCAAAACTCACATTTGTTCTAGTTTTCGTAATCCTCCCACCTTGCCATCTTCCTAAACCATGAACACATTTTCCAGAATAGTACATTATAGCTCCTGCAAAATATAATATGAGAAACTCAGAGGGAAGAAAATGGCATAAAACTTGAACATTTCCTAGAGAAGTTGGGCATTATGGCACCTGTTAATTTTTCTGGTAGAATGCCTTTAGATTTCATTATTTTTATAAGTCTCTGAAACAGATCAACACTAAGATGTGACACATCTTCAAACCACCAATCAGATTCCGAGCTTTTGATTCTTGCACCAGTATTGATGCCATTCCACAAAATGCTACCTCCGGGGCTCTGTAAGCGACCATACATCATCATCGGCCATCCAAACAAACTGGGATCTGTACAAACCATCGTTGATATGGCATTCAAGCATTTACTAATTATATGGAGATTATTGGCTCTTGTTACAACGGTCTCACAACTTCGAAGAACAACCATGCAATCCTTCCAGTTTTTTAGTACAGCCTTATGGAAGTAACTTTCTACCTTTGAGAATAAGTTATCATCTCCATACTCTTCGATCATTTCAAGATAGTCAGCCAGACAATACACCATAACTGTATTTCTAGGAGTAAGTTCCACAGGAACACCATAACAAAATTTAGCTGCGACCAAAAAAGCGTTGGTACCACCAGGAATTTCCTCTAGGGAGATGGTACAGGTCCCTTTATCATTATTTTGAGTTTGTTTGATCAACTTTTCTATTTTCCCACATCTTGATAGCAGAGGAAACTGGACGCAGTTAGAAAATTCTGGTATTAATAACAAAACATAATATGCATAGAAAACTAATGCATTCAATTCCCATAGTTTCGCATTTGTGCCATTTACATATGCACTTAAAGACTAATATTCATTTCTGGTTATGGCAGCATCGAACATGTTCCAATTTTCATCAGAAAATGTGCATAAATGTCTTGGTGGTAAATAAAAAGGGTTTTCAGGAATTTTGCCAATTAAAAAACAGATAAAAAATATGATAATAACAATAACAAAATCTAGTATATGCCAAAAATTGCTATCACTAATAGCCATTCTTCATCTAGCCGGCCATATAATCTTATATAACAATAGTTATAAATCTTGCAGGTTAGAAGAAACGGTACCTTGTGAAGGTGAAAGTTTACTCCATCTACAACGATGGTGATATCACTTGGCATGCCTGCATTGCAGAACCTGCCACAGAAAAACCAAAATTCTATCAAGTGTTAGAACTGGCAATCCAAAACACATCTAATTCATATATTCTGCAAACTCCCTCCTCACTTTTTGGAGCCAAAAAAAGAAACCCATGATTGGTTTGGCTGATAGATCCATCCACCATATACACCTAGCTTGCTGAATTCTACAATATGCCACTAGTTTCTCAAGTGCAAATTGAACTTCATATGTAAGTCAGAAAGTGAATTTGGATAACATTTTGCGAGGGTTAAAAAATGTAAAAGAGTTTACCAGTCATTGGCTTCATTGTAGAATCCCAAAGCTTTCCCTGCAGGAGCCATGGACGGACGTCCTTCCTCTTCCCAATTCAAAATATCAAAAACTATTATCGATAACCATAATCATGCCCTGTGTTTAATTCTAACTCTGGTAGTTTATACCATAAGACCCAGAAAGTATGGCATAAATAAGCAAGATACCGAGAGTGAAATTAGGTCCTTTTTTAGACCAATGCTTGATTATAGACAAAAAAGTGATAAATGTGTCTCCTTCAATACTATTTTCTGTTGGTGGGGTTCTTTCTCCATAAAAGGTAATCTTTGAGTGCCACAGGACAACCCATTGCCATCCAACAACCATCTCACTAGATACCAATTTGGTCCCATGCATCATTTAAACCATCAATATTCAAAAGAAACTAAAGCAAAAATTCAAGAAAATAGGGGAGCACTTTCAAGATTCCTACTTTCTGGTCTTTGAACCGTTTACTATTAAAAGAAAAATGACCCCATGAATGTGTGTATACAATCACGTCCCTCATAAATTGGTCATGTGCATTAATAATTCTTATAAGGTATTTCATCGAACAGGTTGTGTGCAATAATCGACAAGCCATGGATCCAACATCACAACAGGGTGGTTTTGATTTGTTTATTGGAACATTCGTATCTTTTTACCTTTGCTTTTATAAGCGTTGATGATGCTCCCAATCCAACTTGAAAAGTTGAGATTGGCTTTAATAAGTGCAGATGATGGTGTTGCTCACTTTCAAATTGGATTCAATACATGAGTCGATCGGCGCCCATATTCGCTCGGATTTTCTCCGTCCCACGTGAAGGCCATCATTAAAGCACATCTTGAATCCATGACTTCCAAAAGCGTTTGTAAGAAATTGAATATTCAAAGTAAATTCTACTGTTCTTGCTGCTTTACTAACATTTTTCCACAATTGATGGTTTTGATTTGATTCAAATTCTAAATATTGAATTGCATTATGTTCTTTGCACCTTTTATGTAAAATCATGTCAATATTTACATTGAGAATATAAAATATAGATTCCGATAGTGACCCGTGTAAAAAGAAACTTATAAGTAGAGAATATATTTATAGGTCGAGTTTCGGAAAGAAAGCATAATAAATGATCTTTATCTTTTAATGCATATTAGCATGAGATACATCGAGGTATACGAAATCAATCCACGTATCAAACATAATTTATGAATGAGTTTAAGATTAAAAATGATCAACGTATTATATATTTTTTTTTTAACTATTTTTATATAGGATACTTCAGGGGGTGCAATTAAGCATCTCATTCAACATGATGCATCTCAATTCAAGAAAATGACGTATCAGTTAACGTTATATTACTTATAAATATCAAATCCTTAAACAAGTAAAAGTGGATCATGGTAGGTGGAATGATTGCTAAATATAAGAGCATGTGCATCTAATTGTCAAAATAATTAAGAATCAAGTGAATATCTGGTAAAACATCCAGGTAACAAATAAGTTCTTGGACATTTCAAAACCTGTTAAATAACTCCTTAGACTTTCTAAATCTGTTGGATACATTCTTATGACCAATAAAACTGGTTAATGTGATAAAATAATGAAAAAACTCTGGAAAAAAACAATGGACTTTCATATTTTGAATGAGTAAAGTCATAAACATTTTCTGAGCCAAGAAATTACACACATCTATAAAATGAAACAAATATACTAAAAAAATACTTACATTTACAAAAAAAATATTTACATTATTAAAAAAGATTATTGATGAAATTTATTTTAATTAAAAATAAAAATATTATGTTTATGATTTTTTAAATTAAGAAAATAAAAAAGTATTTAAAAAATTACTAATTAAATTTATTTTAATTAAAAATAAAATATATTCTGTATATGGTTTCTTAAATTAAAAAAAATTAAAAAAGATTTAAAAAAGAAAATTGATGAAATTTATTTTAAGTAAAAATAAAATGTATTCCGTTAGTGATTTTCCAAATTAAAAAAATAGAAAATAGTTTGATTAAATTACTGACGGATTAATGGTAAAGTTTAATTAAATACGGTAAAAGTTATAATTAAAGAACTTTAGTTTGAATGAATTAGAATGAAATTTGAAAGATTTTGGTCATGCGTTTTGTTATCAAAAACTGGAATAGAATCTAGCAAAAAAATTGGATTTTGCATGTGTTAGGAGGTCGGGGGTGATGACTGTGACGATGACAATAGTGGTGTGGAGATGGAGGGGTGGGGTGAGGTGGGGTGGCGATGGTGGAATGATAACATTGCCGATGGTGGTGGTGATGACATGAGGCGGGGTGTTGGTTAAACTTGATGCAAATGTTAATTTTATTTTTATTTATAAATCAAATTACAAACCTTTTTATATTTTCCACACAATGGAATTCATTCCCATATAACGAGGATCGACCAAAGCTATATTTGGCAAACTAGTTGATGGCTGATAAACTAGCTGGTAAATAAATCATGTTTAGCGATACTAGCTGATAAGAATGTAAAATGACCAAAATAACATCTTGAAAAACTAATCAATTATAATAGTTCAAAATATAATTGAAACAAATCTCTAATAATTTGATATATTAACCAATAGGCCAAATTGCACAAAAATACATCATACATTAATATGATTCATATTTTAGTAACGTACTTTAAAAGTTTAGTTTGGTACTTGAGATATAAAATCTCAAACTTTAAAGTACATGGTTTACCTAGACATCAGGTAACCGGTTTACTGATAATGATGTGTAATTAAAAAAATTATGACGAGGACATAATAATGACATGGAATATGTTTTACAAATGACATGGAAAATCATAAAGTTAATATTACTAAAAACCTTTCTTCTACTTTGCCTAATCGCTTTCTTCCGCCCACTCCAAAATTCAAATCAGAATCCCTATCGAGAGACTCATCATCTTCGCCTAATCCCCATTAGTATGTGAAATCGTGAATCTCTTCTACATCATCGATCAATTTTAGGGTTTTTTAATATCCATTTTTTAAGTTTTTAGGGTCGTGAGGTTTGAGAATTACAATCTGCTTTGTCGGTTTGCAAATGAGTACCAGGTTAGTTTAGTCACTCATCATTTGATTTACGTTTTGGGTTCATAACAACTCGTCTATTAAGTTTTGGGTCACTGTTATTTAATTATGATGGTTTAAAATTTGACCGTTCTAAATTTCATCCTATGGAGATATGCACTAGTGGAGATGATTATAATGTATACACTTACTAATTTCATGTGTACCACTAGTGGAGATGGCTCTGTTTGGGAGATTGAAGAATGCTCTCGATGTAATTTTTATGTTTGTTATGGTTTATGTTGTTGCTTCTTCAAAATCTTATTAATGTGTACACTTATTAACTTCATGTGTATCACTAGTGTAGATGCTCTGTTTGATGTTTATGGTTTATGTTCTTGCTTCTTCAAAATCTTCCGTTCATTATGGTTTATCTTTTTGCTTCTTCAAAATCTTTCGTTCATTATGGTTTACGTTTTTGCTTATACATTAGAACTTTTTTTTCACTGGTAGGGAGCATGAGGAAGTGGATGTTAGTAGTGATGATGACCTTGGAGATCCAATAGACTTGAATGAAGACTGGTTCAATGATAGGTTTTTCGAGGTCGATCAAGATGATGTAGCTAGTTTAGATCATCTATCGGACGAATATGATGAAATTAAGGAAGTCCAATTGAAGATGATGAACATTAATAGTAAAGAGAACAACATAAGTGTGGAAGATATTTAAGATGGTAATCAAAACGTGACCGTGGACGTAGAAAAGAGTCTAGAAGTAGAGGAGGATGTGTATACACAGTCTTACCAACATGATGATTTTTTGGCCGAGACATGTGAGGGGTATGATAGAGATGCATTTGTGGAAGAAGCAGCAAATTTTGAAAATGAAGCTATCTAGACGAAGTCAAATGAGTTTCCTATACATGATCCCAATATTCCTTTGAACATAATGAAGCCCTACCTCGGAGAAAGATATGATTCTTCTTTCGAACTAAAGACATGCTTGACTAACTATGCCGTTGAAATGGGCTTTAAATAAGGTATGTTATGTATGTTCTTTGAATACATATATTATCTATATTAGCCGACACATTGACATCAATTTAGGTACAAAAAGAATTGCAAGGACAAGTTACTTCTGTGTGTGGACCAAAATCGGAAGATAGTTGTCCATGGAGGTAGTGGGCTAGTTGGATGTCAAAGGAAAGATCATTTCAAATGAAGTTATTACACGATGGACATAAATATGGAAGAAGTTACCAACTAGGTTCACGTGTGAACTTTAATTGGATTGCAAAGGTGTATGGTAGGAAGATTAGACTGACAAAATCCTTCTATGAAGTTAGTTGAATTAAAAGAATCAATTTTAAAAAAACAAGTGCATAGTTCAGATAAGTCAATGTAGCAGGGCTAAAGCAAAGGCTTTGGAGGGGGGGGGGGGGAAGAGGCCCGAGTTGATTATTATGGAAGATTGTAGGACTATGGAGAAGAAATCAAAAAGAACAACTATGGGTCAACCGTTAAAATGAGTGTGGAGGTAGGACTGGATGAGAAGAATTAGTTTAAGATATTTTACGTTTGTTTGAAAGGTGTGAATGATGTATGGTTAGCAGGTTGTAGAAAGTTCACTGGATTAGACGGATGTTTTCTGAAAACCCATTGCAAAGAAGAATTATTAAGTGCAGTAGACAAAGATGCAAATAATCAAATATACCCACTTGCATGGGTTGTAGTTGAAGTTAAATGTAAAGATAACTGGAAGTGGTTCTTGGAATATTTGATGCAAGACATTGGATTGACAAATGGATTGGGGGTGACACTAATGTCAGATCAACACAAGGTAGCCTACTTTTATTACTTGTTTTAATTATTTTGTTATCTACTAATTAGTTATCTACTCACGAATTGTAGGGACTTATTGGACTAGTAAAAGAAGTCTTTCCATTGGCTGAACATCGACAATATGCTAGGCATATTTATGCAAAATTTAGGAAAGGTTTGTTGGAATCCAATTCAGGTCATTATTTTGGGCTGCATCAAAGGCGGGTACACCTAAGGAATTTAGATGCATAATGCAAGAAGTGAAAGACTTTAGTCATGAAGCTTGTGATCATTTGATAGAAAGAGATCCGAACACATGGTCAAGAGCCTTTTTCAAGACTGATAAATCGTGTGATGCAGTTGATAATGGAGTTAGTAAGTGTTTCCACTCAATCTCATTAATTGTTTCATCAAGAAGGAAGCCTATAATAACAATGCTTGAAGATATAAGATTGACCATCATGGAAAGATTTGAAAGGATGACTGCTAAGAAAGTAGAGAAATGGAATAGTGACATTTGTCGACAATCAAAAGAAAGTAGAGATAAACAAAGATCAAATGAGGTATGTTTTGTATTAATTTGTTCCTACAAATGCGATAAATTATTTACCTAATATGTTCATTACAATATTTGCTTAGGTTTTGGCATGTTATCCCGAATGGTGAGACTCTCTTTGAAGCAAAAAAGGGCTTGGCGGATACGTTGTTGACACGGATAAAATGACATACACTTGTAGGATTTGGCAACTCTCAGGAATTCCATGTGCTCATGCAGTCGTGGCTATGTATTTCATTAACCGGGACCCAAATAAGTATGTGTCTCACCTTTTTTTTTTGAAATCATGATTCATAAACACGTACAACCATATGGTCAACCCATTGAATGGCGCCAAACTTTGGCTGACCACAAATTTTGTCAAACCTTTGCCACTAAAATTTAAAAGAATGCGCGGTAGACCTTCAATATCCAGACGGAAGGATGCATGTGAAGATGGTAGTAGAAGTAGGACCAATAACTTTGGACATGATGAGGTAGGAAGAAAAAGGAGGCAAATGATTTGCAAAAATTGTTGGGAGGTTGGACATAATTCAAGAGGTTGTAAAAACCAGAAAAAAAATGCACCATCTAAGCAAAGAAGTCTGGTTGGTAGGCCTAGAGGTAGTAATTCAGCTAGGGTTTCAAGAGGCACTACTTCAAAGGGAAGGGGTTGGATCAATTCCACCAATTGTGGTAAGTTATTATATGTTTTCATTACATTTGCTCGAATTGCTATTCAAAAAGTCATGAGGTAATTAACGTAGGTTTTTTTTTCCTTATTTGAAAGAGGAATCGAGAGAAATGGAAGAAGGATGTATCGGTGCATTTAATCTAGCATTGACGAGGGCATTTAATTTTGATCGAGCAATAAGGATGTATCGGTACATCTTTGGTTATAACTCATAACGGTGTTATGACATCTGAAATATCATCATGCTATTGTCCTTTTTTTTTGCTCATAGAAGATAGCAATGTTAGAGCTTTTTTGTAAAAAAAAATTAATTATTGTCTGTATTTTGTTTATTAGTTTATGAATTTTTACCAATGGTCGTAAATGTTTAATAATTTTGTTTATGTTTATTTGTTAATAAAAATGTTATTAAAAATACAAATGGGCTTCAGCAGCTATGTTTTAAGATTGAGGTGGTGGCAGTCTTCTTGTTTAGTAGAAAACAAATGTATTATTGTAAAACTAGAAGGATACTTGTCTAATGGAGCGAGATACATCTCGATTTTAATGTTTTATTTTATTTTTTGTCTATGTCGATGTTATAATACGATTTTATGTGTTTTTAAGAAAGCAATAATGATTTTATTTTTGAATAAAATAAAATTTTGAATATATATATATATATATATATATATATCAATATTAGTATCAAATCAACTATCTAAAAGTTCTCATTTTTTATGTAATTTCTTTAATTTATTTTTATTATAATTTAATTTGAGTTTAACAATGAAATAATTTATTTTTGATTTAATAATATAACATTTCATAAAAATAATAATTATCTTAATTATATTTATATTTTTTTATATTTAAAATGAGATGTTTATCATGTATTTGATTATGTTTATCTGCAGTTAATTACACGAATTCAGATATGGATCTTTAATAAGTTATACTTACATACAATTTACTTGTAATTTTGAATTTTAAGTAATATACATTAATAAACAGTATTTCATGCATAAAAAATGATTTTTAAGAGTTCATGTCAAATATTTTATAATATAGTATAGATAATCAATTTATATCCTCTTTATTACCAATTTTACCATCTTTTTAGAAAACTAAGTGAATTTGATTTTTTTGGTTTAAAAAAAATACTATTGCAAATTTCACAAATTTATAAAAAAATTGCTTAATTAAAAAAATTATTGTTTTAAATAATGACATGGAATATTTTTTTTTTCTTACTTGACATTTAAAAATTAATAAATAATGTCAAGTCAATAAAACTTACCGATAAGTACTTACCGGGTAATTTTTCTCACCGGATGAACATGGCAAGGGCCAAGAATCTTATCCGGTAAAAGCGATGATAAGGATGGAGAGTCTTATCCGGTAAGTGAGGGTGACGACTCTTACCCGAGTAAACGTTTACGAGGTAAATTGTTGTATAAGATAAGTTTTGATATACTACAATCTTACCCAATAAAATAAATTATAGTGTTGAGTTCTAACGTTAAACACTTACTGGGTAAGCATTTAAATAAACGGACCCTTAATCTCAGTTAGCATTTGTAGATGATTAGGTAAACAAGGTAATTCAAAGTTTGAGATTTTATATCTTATATATCAAAATAAAATTTAAAAAATAGGTTGCTTAAAATAAAAATGATATGGTGGGGCAATATTTTTCCGAATTAAGCTTTTCTCTTTTTTAATATATTCCGGTTAACTTTTCGACGTTACCACCGGCACCGGGAACAACTTTTACCAAACATTACTATGGCCCATAGATAGAGGTTTCATGCCTTCATCTCGATACCAGAATACGATAAAAATCCCACACCAACGTGAATACAAATAAAAGTTAAAAGTAAAAAATCTGACGTATCTTCACGTCATTAGTGGTATTGCGAAGTGTGGGACATATAATTTTTTTTCCAACAAAAAGTAGATGAAAAGCAGCAATTTTATTCAGGTTACAGATATTTTCAGGATTTTCAAGATAATTCATTGATGCATACAAATTGTGGATACCAGTTTTCAGGTGGTGGAGGATGATCGTGATTCCAGTGTTTTCTCATATTCCTCGATAGACTTGAAGAGCTCCGAGAAATTGCCCTTTCCGAATCCTCCACACCCTGCCTTCTGCTGCACCTTCCCATCATCATCTTTCATCATACACCCTACTCTCTGAATTATCTCTATGAATATGGTTGGCCTGCTCAAAAAAATTTCATCAAATTCGTCATTCTATATGTAAACAAGATTTCTATCTTCGTTTATAGAAATTTTGAATAAGTAATTTGGGGTTCTGTATGAATGATTGAATCTCTTAATTACGAAATCCAACAAAATTCAAAAGCATTGAAAAGATGATAATGGTGAGAATCTAATCGCCATACCTGTCGCCCACTGGTTTGGTGAAGATCTGAAGTAGAGTCCCCTGATCATCTCTATCCACCAATATCCCCAATTCCTCACACTCCTTGATTTGTTCATCGCTCAATACATCTCCGGCTCTCTTCTTTAAATTCCGATAATAAGTAGGAGGCGGCGACGGCATAAACTCAAAACCACCAACTCCACTGCGTTTCCTCATCTCTCTCAAGGACCGGAATATGTCCTCACTGGCTAGGGCCAAATGCTGAACTCCGGCGCCTTCGTTGTGTTCTAGATACGTCTGAATCTGGCTTTTCCTCTTTGTTCCGTACACAGGCTCGTTCATAGGAAGCAAAACCATCTCGCTATTGCATGCTAAAACGACCGAATTGAGTCCGCTCTCACTCGTCCCTACGTCCTCCGCCGTGAATTCGGCAAACTCATGGAATCCGGTGAACGATTTCACGTAATCTACAGCCGGAGCAAGTTCCGGGACATTACCTACGGCATGGTCAAGACGGCGAATACCGTAGTCAAGGTCTAGAAATGTCGACGTTTTTTCAACGGGTTCAAACCCGGGCAAAAAGGAAGATAAAGCATCATAGTTGGGATTCTTGTAACTTATGTATCGCAGAACGACGTCGCCGTACAGCTTTACTTCAGACAAAACGGCATCGTTGTTTCCAAGGGTGATTGGGGAAGTAGAGGGTTTAGCTCCGTGAGAAACACTGACAGAAAAAGCGATTTCAGCGTCTTCGACTTCAATAGCGATCGATCGAACGGCGAGACCATGTGAGGCGGTGAAGTTGCGGCAATCAGTGTGGGAAAACGTAGGGATGGAAGCGGTGGAGGTGGAGGTGTTGGTGGAGATGGAAGGAGAATAAGGAGCCGTGAAGAGGAAGTTAAGTTGGCCGGAGCGTAGGAGGTATGAGGCGTGAGTTGCGTTCCCTGTAGATAGATCGGATTTCAGGACGATGGGCATGCCGAGTCCCCAAGAGAAACGGCGAGCGGTGTTGGTGGCGTCGGAGCACCAGAACTCAACGTGGTGGAACCTTTTGACGGAAAACTTATCGGACATGGGGTTTACTCGGGTGAAGTTCTTGAAGCCAACCAGCTTGAAGGTGGAGCCGGCGGCCGTGCTTCCATTGGTGAGCATAGCTTCCGTCCCCATTTTGATTTTGATTTTGATTTTGATTTTGAGTGTGATTAAGGTATCAGGGATGATGATTTATAGGTGCGAGGTTAAATTGGTATGGAACACAGGTTACGAACCACACGGAACCTTAAATGGTTGGGGAATGGATGGTATCAACACGTAAGTCTCGTTATCCCAAACCACAAATTAGAATTTTCATCAAAATCCTCTCTTTTTTTTCTTTTTAATTATCATTTTCTAATTAATTAAATATTATATATCTTTTACTTAGGACTAGTTCACGGTTGTTTTTTAGAGATTTAAATTTTACTGAGAGATTTGAATTTGGAAGGATTCAAATCTGAATGGATTTAAAATTACTGGTGAGTTTGGTTTGTAGGATTTGAAACGGAATTAGATTCCATTATTTATAAACTAGAAGGGTACTCGTGCAATACAGTAAGATAAATCTACATTTTAATGTTTAGTTTTTATTATTTGTCTCTATCAATGTAATATAATTTTATATGGTTTTGAGAAAAACGATAATGTTTTTATTTTTGAATGAAATATAAATGTGAAAATAACATAAATTTAAAAAAAAATCAATATTAGTATTAAATTAACTATTAATTCAATTTTTTATTATAATTTAATTTAGACAAAATAATAAAGTAATTTATTTTTGGTTTAATAATATAATTTTTATTAAAGATAATAATTAAACATTCGGTTAGAAACTCGATAATTATCCTAATTATATATTATATTTTTAATTTTTTAAAATAAGATGTTTATCCTCTATTTGATTATGTTTATCCGTAGTTAGTTACACGAATTCAAACATTGAGCTTTAATAAGTTGTATTTAATACATAATTTACTTGTAATCTTGAATTTTAAGTAATATGCATCAATATACAGTACTTTATGCATAAAAAATGGTTTTTAAGAGTTTTTGTCAAAAAATTTATAATATAGTATAGATAATTTATAAAAAATTACAAATTATTATTAAAAAAAATTAAATTACATTTTTATTAATCGATTATTATAAAACAAGTGTTTTCAACGTTTTTTAAAACTTTATTTAATACAACTCTACGAAATCCGAGCACTCTCTAAGGATTTCAAAATCTTATTGTTGTATGATTTCAATTAAATCCTAGACTTTCAAGTCCGAATAATCCTACAAACCGAACATGAGATTGGAATAAATTCGAAATTCAAATCCCTCTACATCCATTTCATTCCTGCAAACCAAACAGGAACTTAGTACACAGAGAGAAAATTGCATTAAAAAGTAATTTAGTTTGATATAATTTCTATTTTGGATAACGTACTTTAAAAACTTTCATTTTGTTACTTAAAACATGACATCTTTAACATTAAGGTGTATGAGTAACCGGTTTAACCATTAACATGTTACCATACTAATGTGGCAGATGATGCGACATACATGTCAATATTATTTTGCTTACTTGGCTCATGATGTAGTTTATTTTACATAAAAGTATTTTCTAAATTTTATGTGGGCGTGTGCAGCCAAACCCGCTTTGCATTCTTGTTGATTCCCTAATGCCTCTTTCTAGGGTCTTAACATATAAATTCAATCAATATGGCATTGTTTGACAAAAATAAACCAGTTTATAAGTTAGATTACAAGCTAACTTATTTTTTGGGTACACGTTTGGATGAACATAAGCTAGTTTATTGAAACGTTACTTGGAATAGCGTTTTGGTAGTTTATTATCATTTTTTCCAATTATAACTCTCATTAATATCAATTATTATTTATTACTGTTAATTATAAATAAATGTTAATAAATTTAAATATTACTAAATTAGTAAATATTAACTAATATAAATTAAAAAA